TTGAATTCCGGAGGAACAATGAAATGAGGCCCAGAAGCGGTATAAGTGTCCGTGGGGCCGATGTGGCAGGGCGAGGGAGCCGAAGCAATACGATAAATGATATTGGCTCCACCCTCAGCGAGGTATATGAGTTGAGCTCCAGCGGGGAGCTCCAGAAAAGCGGGTTTTGTCATTCGTCAAGTGGCCAGTCGATGTATGGTACTTCCTCTCCGTATATGAACCATTGTCTCCTGACGAGAATTTGTTTTTGGAAGACCAATAGTTCTGGAGGAAACCTCCAAAATGTTGTTCGAGTATCCTGAATTGATCTTCCTCTTTGCACACTGTTAGATAACGGTTAATATACTCAAACAAGGCGAGCACGTGAGTCCGAAACGAGAAGTGCAGACTTCAAATTGACGATAGGACATCAAAGCTGTAGCATCGGCGAACAGGAATCGAAAAGAGTCAAAGTTGTTTGGTATTTGTCTCAGATTACTTCTTTCGCTGAGCCTGATTGATTGCTATGATCCCGAACACTGAGGTAGTGTGTAATCAACAGTGTCACTGATAGATATTCACCGAAAGAGAACCCAACCCCGATACCGTTTAGACCAAGTGGGATTAGATCAAGGAGTCTGTGTCTGGTTGATAGCCGATGCAGACGGAGCTGCCGACTTCGCGGTGTCTGTGGCGCCTTGACCCTGGGAGTCTTAGGCAGGTTGGACCCAATCAGATTGGTGGCGGCCAGAGTAGTGTCAAGCGATTTGAAGATCGGCTCAATAAGTCAGTAGCTTGAGTGCATCCGACAGTGGAGTATTGCCGGGGATTATTGTAAATTATTTAAGACAATGTCTGAAACGAGACGAGGGCCATAAAGACCGCCACAGGGTTCAAACAATATAATAAGCCGTCCGGCAGCTCAGTTGCTCAATCCTCGGGCGTCGGGCACGCCGACAGCGTTGTCACTGAACAATCGACAACAGTGCACGGCTAAAACAAATAGGCGGTCAACACCGCACCAGAGGCCTATTAATGCGCTCAGACGACCTCCAACACACCGAAGGAAGAATGATGCGTGGTCAGTTGATGCGATGGCGTAACAGTGACTGGCAGTAGGATCATGCAAGTAATATGACAAACTGAAAAGGAAAACTGCATAGGACGAATGCTCAGACCGACAAGGGGTCACGATCCAGTTTCAAAGTGGTCTGCCTGGGGCTTCCTGTGTACCGTGGAATGGGCCTCACTAGCGAGCAAATAGAGGCGGAAAGGAGAAGATGAACAACAAATAGCGAAATAATCCTGGGATAACGTGCCTCTCTACCACCAAGCTGTCAATCAAGGCATCTTCAAAAGATGACGCAAATTGAAGGGATTTGCCAAGGCATCCTTTTCACCTCGCATAACCTTATCATCCACCTTGACTCCCGGAATGAAGCGGGATAACCGCCTCACGGTCTGTCGCATTGCCAAAGCCACCAGCACGAGGAACTACTGGGGCCTTTCACAGAATCCGGGGGAGGAAAAGCACAATGCAAATGCAGCAAGGCTGTCGACAACCGATGACCGACGTATCAGCTTAGAGTACTCAGCCAATGGGTCCATCTGCCGAGTCGTTCGGAGCAGCAAAGTGATCCGTCACATGTTGGCTGAATCGGTAATATCGCCTGGAAAATGAAGATGTACAGTTTGAGACGGAGTACAGCTAGATGACAGTCTGTCAATAGAGGAAGGAATCAAGCGATATCATCTGCAGCGTATATGAGTAGTGGGCGTTCCAGAAGGGCTCAAGACAGCAGAAGCTGCATCATCATGTGTAGAATCCAGATTGGAAACAGATGTCGTCATTGGGAAGGACTAACTGCATAAACTTGAGCACAAATGTCGCAAGTTTGCTCTGATAACAATTGTAGATTGAAGTTGTGAACAATCGCGATACTATACCGATAGTGCCCCGCTACTGCTGTGATTGTACCCCGCGTTCTTGGAAGAGTATCCGGTCAAGCATCTCATCTTCAGAATCGTGGTCCCATCGCTTCGAGTCACAATTGGCAAAATTGAATTATCACCAAGGAATAGTCTGCGCAAATAATTCCGTTCAGTCTACCGAAATCATGGTATCTGCAGACATTGCATCCATCCCGACTCCCCCTCACTGCACCGCAGACTTCTGCTTGATTCCGGTGCGTAATCCATCCACCCAAACCATTCAAGAACCCATCAATCCGCCCAGTCTCTCAAAATGGCCAGCGCATACATACAGATACTGACCTTGAACTGTCAAATCACAGATCGGGACCTCCTCTCCCTCCGTATCCTCACAAATCGCAGACGTCCAGCGCCTAATCGAAAAATCCGGGCTTAAATACGTGATGCACTCGGCTGGTACGACACTGGGTACGTCCTGGAATCCTGCAGTCATCCTGACGCTGGTCAACCGGTGCGGTCACTGATACGGATTCTTTGAAATAGAGGGTCCCTGGGACAAGGTCCATCAAGTCATTGGTCAGGCGCATATGCTATTGCACCAACAGGGTATCGTCCGGATCCAGACTGATATCCGTGTTGGGTCGAGGTTTGTACTCTGATACTCCTACTGATTTGGTTTTCGTGCCAGCTGACTTGCTTTTCCATTGCAGAACTGATAAGGAGCAATCGTTTGAGGATAAAGTGAACAAGGTGCGGCAATTGCTGGCACAGGATCACTGAACACCATGGAGTGCTGGTAAGGTGAAGCGTGTACGATTATCTGGCATTGCGGAGGCGTTGCGGATTCTTGGATACGCAGTTAATTCTATATTGGTCTAGGAATACTATCCACATTGAAAATCGCTTATAGATATAACAAAACAAGACACAGATATCTGAGCTGCATGATTCCCAACTCCCAAACGCCGATCATGCACTGTGCGACACAGAAATACACCTGGTTTGAGGATACCGCAAAGATTGAAGTAATGGCTGAGCGGCATAATACGACGCTGTGGTTACAGTGTTATACCGCCGCCGAGAAGACCTCCCCAGTCTCCTCCCACCCAAACCCAGTCGCCCATACTGGGATTCGAGCCCGACTTCGCCTGCTGTACTAGCTCAACCAATCCCTTGAAGACATTCGAGTAGGTTGAGGCAGAGCTTGTTTGCGTCGTGCTCGAGCTAGAGCTCGTTGTGAGGTTGGTACGCCCCACAGGCGAGGTGACATTATTCAGCTTATCCACGGTATCGATGGCTGGGCCCTTGTCAAAGAAATCCACCAAGATAAAGGCCGGCTGACGGCCGTAAGCGCTCTGACACTTCGTCGCTGTGTCTCCTAGATTCCCCACTCCGCCGGAGGGCGCGTTTGTGGTCGTCACGTACGTGGAGTTGGGATACTCAATATTCAGGATGGTTGTGGCATACAGGAAATGGTTCATGAGGGGCAGGCGATTGGACGAGATCGCAGCGGAGATATCATTCTTCACGCTGGCCGGCCGGTCGGGATTGCAAGTGAAGTTCGACCGCGTAGTCACGTCGTAAGGGTTCTCGAATAAGAATTGCCATTGATCCATAAGATAAGGCGCATTTGTGTTGGAGTCCAATGACGCCACGAAGACCATCAGCCGAGTCCCCTTGTTGATCAATGTCTGCAAGGTAGGCCACGAGCTTGGTGCGGATGAGGAGGAGGGCTTATATGCGTAGTCGACTATTGCTGCACTTTCGAATTCGGAATTCAGATCGGAGGCAGAGGCGTTATCAGAGTTGACCAGCAAAACTGTGACGACTGGAGAGAAAAAAAAAAAGTCAACGTTCAGCTAGCCATGCATAGCCGAGTCAGAGACCGGAACACACCATCATTCGGATTCGAGTCTAACCAGCTCTTGATCTCTTTTAACCATGTACTCAGTTTCCCCGCATCCAACAGCTCACAACTCGAATGGCATAGGTGCCACTCTGAGCCTTGCAAATGGACTTGCGCCGTTACCATACGAACGCCAGCGTCTAGCTGTAATGTGGTGTTGTAGTATCTATATTAAGTATTAGCAAACGTTTGACTGCTGCCGTACAATATGTCGCGAATTCAACTTACTGGTTCGCTGCGGTCGAATACCCGGTCGATGCATCTCGTACGAACGGACTATCGTGCGCCCCCAGATGTGTGATTTCCCCATAGGACTTTGAGCAGAGACTTGGAGAGTTATTGCATGCTGTTTCTCGAGGAAGCAGCGCCGTTGCAGATATCAAAGGGAGAAGCGCTAAAACACCGAGTCCTGATCGTCCTAGCATGCTGGTTGCCTCGATTGTAACTTCTGATGAAGAACACGACACTGCTATCTAGATGCGACTATGCAAGTACTGGGGAAGGCGTAGATCTTCGGTATGCAGATTCCCGGAATGTAGATATTTTCTGCAGTACAAAAATGCAGAGGAAACCTGTTTCAGGTTGGAATTGGAAAGGGGGCTGATGCAATGAAGAATGGTGGTGAAAACCAAGATGTGAAATAACTGTTTATTATTGACTATTGACTGTAGGCTGCGCCAGGCACTTGATGTTATCCACACGGTCTAGAAAAAGTATTAACCCAAACTCACTATCCACTAACGGGCTCTGCTTGACAGTTCAGCATCACAGTGATTGCGTTGTGAGATCCACTTAGAATTGAACGTCAGAGAGGATTGGAGGCGATCTGACAGTGCTGACTGCGCTGGTGGGCCCCAGTCCCACAGAGAAAGTCAGAAATGATTCAGTAAGCCTAGGCCGCGTTGCCTTTGGGACTATTCTTAGAACGGAATACACCCATAATGAAGGGGGCTTGGCTCGCAAGGAAGGACACTGCCATTTCCGTGGCTCAGAGTGTTTTGCATCTTTATCATCGTTGCCTGGAACTTCAGTCACGTGTTGTCTACGAAGTGATCTGGACCGGTGGACCCTTAGACAGAGTAGTACTCCTGGTTGCTAGATGGACTGTGGGCTGAACTCCAGCATTGGGGGAGGACAATGATATAAAGTTGTATGTACATAGTGGTCCATAATATACAGCATCTCATTTGGTTTTGACGAATGCCGCTCCTTTTAGGCGAGCTTCTCTCCATAGTGTTCGTCCGGTCCTGCGTTGAGACATGTTCGAACTTGGAGGATTGACCAGCTGGGACAAATCATCGTCTTGCTGACCGTTGAAAAGGGGTGGATTCCCCCACACACGGTCCATGTCTGCAATCACACGCTCTGGAGAATAGGGGCATTCCCTTCGTAGCATACGGTTCATGTGTCGGCTAGATTGCCTTGAGTGGCCGAAGAGAACAGCCAAGCGATGTCGGCAGGCCCGACGAATCCAGCTGTGCCAAAGACGGATGCCGTTGTGCTCCAGTTCGCGCAGAAGCACTAAACCTCGTACCCAGGGTACAAGGTTCTCAAGTCCTAAGGCACTATAACCTTCGTGATCGGGATTTGGAGACACTCGCATTTTGAATCCCCACGCGACAATAGCTGCCTGCATGTTTTTGCTAAAGACAGCTTGCAACATTCGGTCGCCATCATCCCGAGAAACACCGCCAGCTTCACGCCTTGGGCGGTCCGTAGAATTAATGATGAGAGAAACTGCATCGCTCGGTTTCGGAGCAGCGGAATATTGGCGAGCGAGCCAAAGACAGCATCTGCGAAGCTCATCCCATTGATTCGTCATCCCAAGTCGTTTCAGCATCTCAATCCACAGATCAGGAGACACGGATGTGCCCATTGGAACGACGCGCTGCAAAACACGGAACACAAAAGAAACTTCTTTGCTGGATGAGACATCTGTCCCTTGGAGTGGTCCAACTCCTGGTCGACGCGGAGTAAGAGTATGCTTGATCATAAAGTCCACGCTTTCTTTGGCGAGTTTCTGACCGTTCAGTGTCATTTCGTCCAACATTTTAGACGCCGAAGCCCATTCTCCCGAGGCGATGAATTTGCGAAAGTGGATATTGCTCAGTTTAGACCCGTCGTCAAATATTTCTGTCAGTATGGCAAGCGTCATATTGTAAGGACGCCAGTCGCGAGCGATATAATACGATATTAACAGCGACTCTTGCATCACCGCATCTTCCAGTACATCGGGATGCTGATCGCTATGGAGTAAGTCCGACAGAAGTATGTCGCGATTTTCCGACGCCAATTTACGGATTAGTCGTGCGAAAACCGAATCGCCAATGGAGATGCCCGCTCTGTGAAGTTCTCGCAACCGAGCTACAATGTCCTGGCTCCCTTGAGCCCTAACTGCCATTTCTCGCAGCGACTGCGGCCCAATAGCCTGTACACCGAACATTCGTAATCCCGCGACGGTAGTCTCGAAGGCAAGGGCTTTGGTGGCGAAGAGCCGAGCGCCCAGTTCATCCTTGAAAGGCTTTTCTTGAAGCCAAACTTTTCCGCTGGACTCCCGCGTATCGTCTTCTTTAGCAGGGGCACTCTCCTCAGCCGTTGTTGCTCGGTCGGGGAAGCGATACTTGCTGTAAGCCTGGAGTTCGTAGAATTTTCGCGGGCTAAGCTCCTTCGCAGATTGGAGCAGAGGCTGGATCTCCTCGTAGGTTCGCGGATGGTCATGTCTCTCAACCAGAAACGAATGCAGCGAAAATGCATCCTCAACACGACCCAATTTCAACAGCTGTGGGATGGCACAGCCATATATCTGATGATCGTCCGTGAATCGGCATATGTTCTTGAAAGCGCTAATGCCAGGAGATACAGAGCGTCGTGTGATCGTCGTTGGTAGGACAGTTTTGGTCGATTCGTTGATCATAGTTAGAGCTGGATAAAACACCTTCATTATGTCATTTGGACAGGATAGATGGGGATGCTGAAGTTTCTTATGCCATCGAATAGCATGCTGGGTCATACTTCGCTCGAGGTATCCACCAACGACGACTTCGTAAAATTTGTCCCATCGGCTGCCAGTCCTTTTCCAAAGCTCCAGCGCGTAAGCCAACACCTCTCCCATGATAACTTCCCGCTTGAAACCCAAATCAACAAAACTGTGCCAGAAGAAATCGGCTTGTTCCCCGACCACGGGCAGGTCGACACCCTCCACTCGGTCTGTCAAAGCTATCCAGATATCCAGTGTCCCTCTGTCTCCATAGTGTCGCTGCCGGTAGCGAAGCAGCTGTTCCCAAAGATCCAGCCTCTGTCGATAGACTGGATCGTCGACAAGGCGAGTACCGATGTCCTGGGTGTGGCCGATATCCGATTCGAAGTCTAGCTTGTCGGGCTGTAGATCAAAGCGCAAAGAGGCGTCTTTTTTGGCCATTGAGGATGTGGAAGCGTTATCTTGTCGCATTGTACAGTCGTGTCTTGTATTCCGAGGCGAATGTATGTCATACACGTGAAAGCTGTAGGGGCGCGAGGTCGATGATTGATTCAAACGCGTAGTTTCGTTCCTGCTGGGTTCGTCGACCTCGCAGCGCCGAACGCCCGCATTTTGGTGTGCCTTTCGCAAACTGCATCGTAAACATTTATATTTGGACTCCAGTTGCTCGATGCTAATGGATTTCGAAGTAAGAGAGTCGAGAACCGAAACGGCGGACGGTCTCTTCAATAATCGAAGGAGAGCCGGGCGCATGAGTCCTGAGAATGGAAAGGTGAGGTGATAGAGCGGCCTCTGGGCATCCTCCTCATCGGTAGTCCAAGAATCGACAGATAGAGACCATTGAGAATAAGCGACAGATAATGAAAGTCCCTAATCGTTTCGCATAGAGCTCTCAACTGTACACTGACAGATACTTCTTTGGGATCGTGATAGAGATGAATACAAGTCATGTGATCATTACTAAGCACTCAATCCGAATTGGCGGAAGAACGAGGAAAGTCACATGAGGCTTGACTTGCAGCTCCAAATCCGGATCCACACTTCACGGCATCGACTGATCATTGTTGCTGGTCTTCCTTCTCCCACCAAACTTGTCTACCTCATTTAGAAGCTGCGATATAGCATCTGCATACCGTCAAGATGTTCCGCACTGTTCCCCGCATGGCTGGGTACGTTCGTTCTGATTCAATTCCTACTCAACCGGTAGCATCATCTCGACTCGGGTGGGATGATCGCCTATGGCCATCCAATTCCTGTCGGCAATCTGCCAACTTTTCCTCGGAACACCCAATTGCGCCCGTTATTTTACTGACTCCTTTTGCCTGCGATTCCTAGATTCGTGTTCCGCGAGAACCGTGTTCCTTACTACCAGCGTCTCTTCCAGCAGCACGATGGCAAGCGTCAGTGGTGGAAGGTCAGTTGGTCCGGGGCTTGACGCATTTACATTGGAATGATTGTGAATTTTGCTGACTGGTAATTTCTTCCTTGAAGACCGAGCGTAGCAAGTACATCATGTACCCCTACCTCATCTCCGTTTACGGGTTGGGCATTGGTGAGTTCTGCCGCGCCTCGAAGGAGTCATCCGTAGCTAACTCGCTTTAGCCACCACCTATGCCATGTGCCGCATGGTCCTTGTTAGTATCCCTCGCCCGTTACGATGTCCCTGGAGCCGGTTATTCTCGCGGCTTATGCGCATTCGTGGACTGACATTCAAATAGGGCCACAAGACTTGGTTCGGCAAGAACTAGATAAATCTTCGCTAATTTCAGATCAAATACATGGACTAGCGTCTCCTGGATCCGTTAACGGTGTATTTCTATTTCGACAGACGTGCTGGTTTGAGAGGAAATATCATAACCTTGTATATAAGATCAGCCAGGGTATCAATGGAGGAGTTGATCAGTCTGTTCAAATGATTCGTCGAATTATTCCAACGGGAGCTATGACAAGCCAGTCTTATGTACTCAATGCCATCGAATATCGCTTCATCGATCTTACAGAAGAAGTCCTTGAAACAGATGCTCGCCATTCTCGGTTTTCATACTCCGAGATGCCATCTGCTAGATGCCCTTCATGTATTGTACGCTTACTAGTAGACGTGAGATTCCAACTTTGTAGCCATATACGATTGAGCCCCCATCCCGATATCTCCCAGCCATGTTGCTCGTTCCTGTGATATCGTCAAGGTGGGATTAGTAATCAACCGAGCGGATAGTTATGGGATACAACCCCAGGTAATCCGCTCTGAACATTAACATGGATCAAATAGTCGACTGATCAAATACTTAGAGGGACATGCGACACAAGATTCCAGTTATACACAATAATTGAAGAAGTTTCACTTTTGTGGGAGAAAATGCCACAGAGCGCTTCCGTAGGCAGCTCATACGAGATTTCGAGAATGGTTTGTCTACTGACACGGTGAACACAACATACAATTCGGTCAACTCCACAAGCCTAACCCGGTCTGCTCTGAGATGAACCGAACATCTCTTGAGCGACCAAGCAAACGCGTACGGCAAGCATGCGAACCATGCAGGTAAACCTGCCCATCTTTCTTCGAGACTCGACATGCTGGCTCACCAATCCATAGACGCAAAAAGGCAAAATGTCCTGGTGAGCAGCCGGTTTGCTCGCTCTGCGCACGATTGCGCCAGAGATGCGCATACGCTGGAGAAAGACGCAGGTCACTGCCGCATGCTACTCCAGACGGATCACCCTCCGTCGCTACTTTTACTGCTGCTGATGCCCCGGAAGTGCGAATTAGTCGAACATTGGTGAGCTCGCTTCTCTATACGAATCCGGTCGCGTTCTTTTTCGTTGACTGTGCCCCAGGAGGATCGTCTCGGGAGCCTGGAGTCGAAGATGGGTAAAGTTCTTGATGCTCTAGAGTACTGCGATTCCTACACTTGTGTGAGACCCGATCAGTGACTGATAATTCCAATTAGACGAAATAGCTCGAGGGACGAACAACAGAGGACGAACGACTTGTCTCTTCGACCGAGTACTTTGAGGGGCCCTATCACCTCATCGATGATCAGTGCCATTACTCCACTTCCGACCTGGGAGAAAGTGCTCGCAGTGGCAGAATTGTATCTACTATACTGCGAGTCCCAGCCTCTTCCTCTTTTCCACAGAGACAGTTTCCTTAGCAGCCTCAGCACTCGAGATCCCGAAATCCTCTACGCTATACTCGCATTGAGTATACGATTCTCTGACGAAGACTGCCAGGGTTTGAATGATCTTGCAACTCTTGTGAGCGGCTACACAGAGGTAGCCAGAGGACTGGTCATGAGGAGGGTTTCAGAGGGCCCGGTTGAATTATCTACCCTACAGTGTCTCTGCCTTCTAAGTTTGATCGACTTTACCAGTAAGTCTAGTACTTGAGTCAACGGCAATCGAGTCTAACCCCGTTCAGACGGCAACACACATCGCTCGAGCATTCACAGTAGCCTTGCGATGAACTTGGCCCAATGTGCCAATCTGGGCTCCGAAACGCACGCTACGTTGTCCGCGGTGGTCCGCGAAGAGCGGCGACGCTGCTTTTGGAGCATCTGCCTTTTGAAGCGCTTTCATGGTGTTGAATTTGACAGCATGGGGTTCCCTGATGGGAGCTTTCCCCCGTTCCCACAAAGCCCTGAGCGCCCTCATTCGCCGTTCTCGCCGAGCAGTGCAACTGATGAGGCTCGGTCTACTGGTATGGAAGACCAGGGGATCATTGCGTATGTGATCATTCTAAGCGAGGTCTTCGCCAAAACCACGAGATATGTTCGTCGCCACGGCCGGCCGAGCAGTGTCCCACCGTGGTCCTCACAATCAGAGTACTCCAAAATTATCACGCTGCAAATGGACCTGGAAACACGAATGCCTTACATCCATCGATTCAAACCGGCCAATCTCAGCGAGAGGACAGCTGAGGAGCTTCAAGCCAACCGAGGATACTGGGGTCCGTGGTTCCTGAACCAATTTCTCTATCATACAAACCTCTGTCTCCTCAATCATCCGCTTCTGCTGTCTCTGAGCCTGAGGAACTTCCGGAACTCTATTCCAGAGATATTCTTGCAACACACTTCGGACCTTATATCTTCACATACCACCTGGATCATTCATTTCATAAACTACTTTGAAGAGAAAAACTTCATCGTGTCAGATCCACTGCTAGGGTACAGCGCCGCTGTGGTGGCGACCATCGAGCTACAGTTGAGTTTTACTGAAGATAAAACCATCCGACAAGAGAAGCGCGATCGCTTTTATAGATGTGTCAAGTTCGTGGAAACCATTGGGCAGAGGTGGCCTCACATGGCGCAACTGGTCAGCGATTCTCACCTATCCTACGAGGCATGAGTTGACTAACATTGCTATTCACCATACAGGCGGATAAATTACAACGACTGGAAGGCGCTGTTTCAGCTACTTATCAACCTGAGCCACGGGCTCAGAATAAGAGCCTACTGATAGACCTGTCCCGATTTTGGGAAATCCTCGAATATTCGTTTAACAGGGATACGGGCTCTGCTCGTCGCTTGTTCGGCGATTCGTTATACAGTGAACCGCCTACCATTGACACGGAAGTATCGCAGACGTCTCCTCTACCCGAACCCACTCGCCTAAATTCGCACTCCGAACAATCACATCCAGGGTCACGAATGTCTGAATATGGCTTTCAACCTGCACTTCCGGTTGGGTCACACTATGCCATGGGCTCGGCAATTTCCCCGCGCCAACCAGATTTCTTCAACGATGAGCTATCTATCTTGGCCACAAACTTCTTCTCCCAGGGACAAGAGTTCTTGCGTGGCAGCGATAATAGAGAAGGAATTGGGAATTTTTGATTCACCCTGCTGGCTCATCTGTATACATACATACAAGTGCCTTCTACGTGAGACACTGAACTAACTTCTGCCGAACTTAAGACACCTAAACACATCGAACCCTTCAAATTCAAACATGTCTTCCTCATATCTCATTGCAGCATGCAAGATCACTCTTATTTGAGAAGCATCATACGCAGAGCCGTTGTTAGCATCATGATCAATTGGACCCTTAGTTCGATCCTTTAAACGTGCCTGGAAGGACGCCATATTGTTTGAAGTATCTCCATCCGCGAATACAGATGAAAGTGAGGAAGCCAACGATTCCACTGTAGCAGCTCAATAATCAGCACTTCTACTTGAAAGTACGCCTCCAGTAAGCATTGATGATCACGACACCTCCCTGATAGAGGCTCACATACCACAAGATCATACTTATCGTGGCGACAACGCCACCAAGCGCCCGGCTGCTCGTACTATGTGCGCCGTTCGTTCCCAGGATGGTGATGATGAAAAGAGCAAACCAGAAAACGGTGTCGATAACATTGAGGATCATGTACGCCTTCGCACTCGCCCAGCGCTTGAGCCGCTCTACATGAGCCGTGACGACCTGGTAAGCCAGGAAGACGGCGGCCTTGAGGCACTGAAGAGCTCGACGTCTCGGGTCAGCCTTTGAGCTGCAACTAGCTGTTCCGGACATCGATCAAGCCGCAGAAGAATCAAGGGTACACTCACAACGACAATACCCCAGGTGTTTGACCTGGTCTTGGGCGTACCCTTATCCGCTATGCGTGCAATTATCAGGACGAAGTTTAGGAAAAGTAAGACGCCAATGATGATATGGAGCCGCAGCTTGATCTTAGGGTGGTTCTCAATTGCGAAGTTCATTTTGATTTATGAGAGGGTTGGATCTGATAGAGTAGGCGGTTCTCGATCTTTAATGCCAGAAGCTTGTCCAACGGAGGTAGAACAACAGTAGATCTCGCTTTGGACATTGCAAATACTTTAGGAACTGACTCTCATAAGTATTGAGTCTACTGACTGATGCCTAATAACGCAAGTAGTATCAATGGCAAAGCATGGAGCCGGCCCTGAATTGGGGGATCGCCCCAATAACGCAATGATTTGCGCGTACCTGGTGGCAGCTGAGAAATAATCGCTATCCAGGGCATGAGACTGTCTCCTGCAAATCGTGGAACATTGTACCAGCCGCCATATGAGGAGGTTGCATGGTCAAGGCTCGCATTCGTATGGGTAACCCGATCAGGATCCACATACGATAGCGGAGGGCAAGATTGATAAGTACTAATGCCGTTCCAAAAGGCCTCCTGGCTAGTCAAGCAGTGCCAGGAAATCATGCTGGCAAAGGCGCGGAATTAATTGTTGGTAGCAAACTAGATATCAAGTGTGATGCGCGTTCCCTCCACGATTGCGGGTCAATTATATTGACACGATAGCAATGAGTATATCCAAAAGAGGAGTTTAAATTTGCAACCTTGGTTCAAGGAAATGGTTAATATCGGTCAGAATTGGAGAAGAGACATGCTTTGAATTGTCGTTGATGGTCACCTTCCTATATTTGGGCATCGAAACGAATACGACCCAACCCCCCAGGCTTCAAAGACCTTACCCGCCTGGGACAACAACAAAAATGGCTCGAAAACAAAGAAGCCTCTGATTCAGAACGGCTGAGGCGCAAATTGAAAACAAAAATTCGTCATCGGAAGGCCAGGCAGATATATGGGATTGGAGCTACACTCTCCTATGAGATTTCTGATACGAGTGGGCTCGTTGAAATGGACAAGCTGTTAAATAATCATCTTGGGTATTCTTCTATCCTCATTTTTCTTGCGGAATTCGCCATAGAAATTCGCCATATGAATAAGAGTTCAAACGATGGAGTAACCAAAAATCGTATCACGTTACAGTTGAGTCTTGAAGATGACAGCTTGGCAAAATTCATTCTTCCAGAGCTGCCTTGAGTTGCTGAACGAACACCCAGATCTCAGTGAAAGTGTTGTACAATGGAACAGGTGCGACGCGGACAACTCCTGGTTCTCTCTTGTCGCAAATAATCCCTGCTTCCTGCAGTCGATGAGCTACCTTGTGCAATAGCCCAGGCTTAAGCAGAAGACTGAGCTGAGCACCTCGAGCGGCAGGATCGGAAGGTGTGATAATTTGGAATTGCCGCGACTCGTCCGTGGTGTCATTTAACAGCAGGTACTCGAGATATGCCGTCATCAAGACAGATTTCTTGCGCAGCTCAGCCATGGAAGTCTCATCAAACACCGACAGAGCAGCGCACAAGCATGCAAGATCGATCGCCGAAGGGTTCGAAATCTGGTAACCACCCGCCCCAGGGATTGGTTTGAACTCTGCTCTGACATTAGAACTGAATAGGGTCAAGTCGACTGCGCGAAAGACTAGAACTCACTATTGTCCATCTTGAATCGCACTGATTTATCGCCTCCATACCACCCAGTCAGACGGTGTCGGAACTTTGGCGCATCCTCTCCTTCGCTGTAGTCGACTTGTCCATGTTTCTCATGGACAAAGAGGCCTGCCATTGCCCCGGGGCCGGCGTTGCCGTATTTGTAAGTGCACCAAGCTGCAAAATCGACGTCCCAGTCGTGTAGCTTTAGCTGGACATTGGCGTAGGCATGAGCCAAATCCCATCCGACAATAAGCCCTCGTGAGTGCGCATATTCGGTGATCTTTGGGATGTCGAATAATTGCCCAGTGTAGTACTGGATTCCCGGAAGCAGGATGAGAGCTGCCTCGTCTGCATGCTGATCGATGTAAGACAAGATCTTCTCCGTTGAGATCTCGTATGTGCCCTCATCAGGGCCGATGAGCACCATGGTCTCCTGAGGATCTAGATGGTGCCAGGCAACATGGGATTCAATGGCATACTGGTGACAGGTTAGCATAACTCACGCGGGTATTGCGACGCTATCATACTCACATGATCGCTGGGAAACGCCTTCCAGTCCATCAGGATCTTACGCTTGGTTGCAGTTGGCTTATAAAAGCTTGCGAGCAACAAGTGCAGATTCATTGTTAATGTACCCATTGCTGCGACTTCCTCGGGCGCCGCCCCCACGATCTTCGACATAGACTCGGCAGCCTGCTCAGCCAGATTCTGCCATTCCTTTAATGGGGAGTCTTCGATCTTGGTGAAGTGACCACAGACGCCAATGGACGACCATGTGTCCAGTTGCGCCTCCAAATATTTCTGGGTGGCTTTGGGCTGAATACCAAGGGAATTGCCACAGAAGTAGATACATGGTTCTGATGAAAGGCCTGAGGGAGGTTCTCAACGACGATGAGCGGTTATTTGGGGAATAATCGTACTTACCAGGCTTCGCCAGTTTGGTGGAGGCAATGTTTGCCTTTGATGGGATGATGAATTTCTCTCGAAAGCCTGCGAGCGGGTCTGCAGCGTCCAGAGAGGCCGCATACTCCTTGCTTGCCGCAGTGGCAGGGAACTCAGGCTTGGATAGTGTGCCGTTGGTAGACATGATGGATGAGGATGTGGCACCCGTGCTGTGATGTGAAATCAAAGCAAAATGATTGTGATCGTGACAACATGTCCGACACTCACTCCTTGCTTTATACGTGGTCTCGAGGTGATTCCATCGACCCCGGCGGAAGCGGGATACTTATCCGTTTCCGCCTCGGAATCCGTGCTCGTGGAAGGAATGATTGTCAAAATGATATCCGCAATATTGGCTTTCAATTACTGGTATGGTGATGTGATCTCACAAGCCGCCCTGTCCATGCTTTGGATATCACATTACCTCATTACCTCCTTACTGTTTCCTGAGCTCATTCCACCAAGTTATCGTTCCGGGTTGGATCCGGCCCTCTTCCGCCCGACCAGTTCCTTCCCATATATTCTGGCTTCGACATGGGCAGAGAGAATATTCCTATTTCTAAAGCTCATTACCAGAATCTCTGCCTATAAAGTCACTTGCACAATTGGCCACTCATTTCTTATACTGTTTGAACAAGCCCTCGCCATGCTTAACACACCGGAAATCGTGCTTGACCAGTTCTGCGTTTCTCTTCGAAATGGGTTTCTTCCAGACACCCTTCCTCTGCAAAAACTGAAGGATCCATACTACTCCCCGTGGGAGGAAGTTGTCGCGGATCTACCAGCCCGGCTCGCAGCGGGAAATGTACGGCAAGCGGTTGACAGTCTTCCCATCCTCTCAACTTCCAGGCTGCACGAAGAATCAGAATGGCGGCGAGCATATGTTGTGCTTGCTTTTATCACTCATGCATATATCTGGGGAGGTGAACGGCCGAAAGACGTATGTGTCCTTTGTCGTTATATGATTGCAGCTTTCTCATGGCTCTCTAGGTTCTCCCACCAGCAGTGTCGTGTCCCATTCTGGAGATCTCAAAGCATTTAGAGCTACCACCATGTGCTACCTATGCCGCTTTGAACCTCTGGAACTTCAAAGTCTCTTCCCCTGATATTGATCTCACTGACCCAGACAACCTGTCTATCATCACAACATTCACCGGTACCAAGGACGAGGAATGGTTCTTCATGATCTCTGTTGCTATCGAAGCCAAAGGAGCGGATTTGATCACCCTGATGCTCAACGCCATATATGCAGCGAACCTGGCTGACCATCAAAGAGTCACAACTCTACTTTATCAATTGAGTGATGGCCTGAAAGAGCTTGGCGAAATTCTGGAGAGGATGTATGAAAAGTGCAACCCACACGTCTTCTTCTATCAGCTTCGCCCTTACTTGGCTGGTAGCAAAAACATGGCCTCGGCTGGACTGCCCCAGGGTGTTTTTTATGATCTGGGAGACCACGGAGAGTGGCATCAGTACAGTGGGGGAAGCAATGCGCAGAGCTCACTAATCCAAACATTCGATATCTTTTTGGGTGTGGAGCATTCAGCCACGGGGGAAGCAAAGATGAACAACACATCTCAGTCCAAGCCTAAGATTGGCTACATTCAGGTACGCATTTACTCTTACTGAGCTCCTTATCCAAAGTCGAGCCAGGAACTGACTATCCTCGACGTAGGATATGCGAAACTACATGCCTGGCCCTCACCGACGCTTCCTGGAGATGATGATTCGAACCTCGAACGTGCGCCAATTCGCCATGAGCTACAAAGCAGATACAGAGGTCAGGAACGCATACAACACGGCAGTCATGGCTGTTGGCGCATTCCGGGATAAGCATATTCAGATGGTCTCACGATACATTATCACGCCTTCGAGGACAAAACCAACCCAAACTCCGTCCGCGCAAGTCAATCTGGCAACCGTGACAGCAGCGCATCAGGTCACACGTTCGAAGGACACTCCAGCAGGATACAGTGGTACAGGAGGAACCGACCTTATCCCATTCTTGAAACAGACTCGGGATACGACAAAAGCTGCGGCCAAATATACTGATTGAGGTGGGATTTTTCACCAGAGGCAATCATTAATGAGTAGAGAGTAGATATTCCTACTTCTTTGTAGAGCGCGGAGCACGGCGTTAGGGTTTGTACATAAATCACTTCATCTTTATTCATTTGAATAAAAACTCAGCTTTAATACCAACCGCTCGCATACCATACCTGTAGTTAAACTTGGCACACACATTCTTCGCAAATATGTCATGACAAATAACTTTCTATGACATCCGAACTCCGAAGACAAGCCGGCAAAAAGCGGTTATGGGTGGACCTTGGACAATGTGTCCGGAGGCGGATACGGAAGCGGAAAGCCAATCTATTAACCCATGTGACCATTTAATAATATGCAAGGGGAACAATATGATCAGTTGAAAGTTAGATCCAGCTTCAAGGCGGCCCTACATCTTCGTGTTTTTTTTGAGTCTGACATGAAGTGGGACAATCGTTTGATGGGTTGGCTACTTGGCCACAAGACAGCTATCCAATGATCAATGGCAGTATCTTGACGCGAGGAACATTTCTTGAGAGGGATTTTGCAAGCATGAGAGTAACGACCTGACTGACATAGGTGTTATGCACCCGAAGGCTTAGAAGGTAATTTACACACGTTGACTCCCTAGACTTGTCGTGATTGATTCCAGTATCTCATGCCAACTCATTGGAGAAGCTCAATTGCGCTGAAACTAGCGACCATGCGACGATGATTGGGCCGATGCGCATGTGCCAACCTTAGAGCCTTCAATTGGGTCTATGACTGCATACTCATGTAAGGTATCCGTCTGTCGGTGGCCCCGGGCACTGGGCGGATAGAGGCGGAGGAGAGGGTGCCAAAGGAACGAGGTGATCCTGGGCACGAAGAACATGCAGGGAGCATGTCGCTGAGACCACGTAGCAAGTGGATAGATTGGCATGCGTGATGACCCAAGAGTCGAAGCGAGCATCTGTTTTAGTGGGTATCCGGGGGGCAAAGGACGATCATCTCTTCTTAGTGTTGGTAGGGATGCCTTCGCTTTCTCGTAGCTCGGCCAGCTTCTTTTCGCGCTCGATCAGACGCTCTCTTTCTTCCTTGATCATTTGCTCAACCGTCTTGTTGGCCGCTTCTAAACGATCCAGCTCCTTATTCTCAGTCGTCCTGCTGTAGGGGTTCTCCGGGGTTTCATTCTGAGGTATTTCGGCGGTCCGACCTCCACGCTGCTGCGCGGCTTGCTTTGTATTCTTCCCTCCCTTGCCCTTCTGCGTTTGCTGGGAGGCAGGTCCTCCTGTGAGGAGGTCGTAGAACGGTTCCATGGGCTCGTTGAATACAACCTCCTCGTAGTTCTGGCTGATCACCACCTCTCTGCGCTCTTTCTTGACCTCCGCGCCGGGCCCGAACGGGTGTAGTTTCAAACTATGCCATAGTGTCTGTGGTTTCTCGCCGGACTCCGGCACGAAGTAGAGCTTGATTTGGATTTCGAATTCACCCCAGCCAGTCTCGGTCACCTCAAACGGTGGCTGCTCGATGGTGCGTACATTCTGCGCGTATGTCTCGTGTAGTTTGAACTGAACTTTCTTCAGCCAGTAGGAAATGTCTTCGTCATTGACTCCTTTCACAAATACGCGCCACTGGTGGGTGTGATCTGCTGGGACATGAGGGGGTTTCTTCTCAGGGTCGAACGGCCGCGCTTCGCTGCCAAAAACTGCAAAGCGTTAGAAGCTTGAGTCCTACAAATTCAAGAGAATGGGCAAGTTTGACATACCGAACGGTCTGAAAATCGACACTCCCTGCGAAGAGCACTGGTCAGTATATTGCGACTGATCGAAGAGATCAACTTTGGCACGAACCCTGACGCGCTTGGTTCCAGTCGCTGAAGGCATCCTGCGCGATATTAACTCAAGGTATAATTGAAGATGCGGCGATTTGCTGAGCTTTTGCGAGGCTGTTGGAACGTACGCTTCGGGGTTTGATTATTCGGACCTGTACCGTAAACTGCCTCCTTCGATCGGCACGTGACGTGTCCGATAACCAACGATCGATGGCCGATGACGATAGTCGGAAGCAGGCGTTCCGTAGCTTTAGCTTAGCTCCAGCAATTTTATTGATGAACTTATGAGGTACATATAAGGACATATTTTCTACTATTCATTTGACCTATGGTCTAGCAATTGCAAAACACTCAATCTCGTCATCAATCGTTTACCAGAATGGCTTCAAAACGAGTAGTAGTTGCCGGCGGAAACGGCTTCTTAGGTGGGTGATTTTTCCGCTCTTGAATAGCGTTATGCTAATGGCTGACTTTCAATTAGGATCGCGTATTTGTAAATCAGCGGTGAACAGAGGCTGGTCTGTCACATCTCTAAGGTATACTTTCACAATCCGATTTTTGATCTTGGTGGTGCCTGCTTAGACGTCATAGTCGGTCCGGAGAACCTCGATGGGATACTGTTACCAGCTCACACAATCGACCAACATGGGCCAATTCCGTTGAATGGGCTAAGGCAGATATACTTAAGCCTGACACATATAAACCACTCTTGCGTGATGCCGACGTCGTGGTCCATAGTATGGGCATCCTAATTGAAGCAGATTACAAAGGCGTGGTACGAGGGAAGGAGCCCATTGTCAGCGGCCTACAGAGAGCTTTCAGCTCGTCGAAGCTGGGTAGCCAGAACCCTCTGACGAGGCGGGATGGAGAGCGGCTGAAGCCTCAGGAGAGAGACGGGCAGTTGACATATGAGATCATGAACAGGGATTCTGGTTCGTATATCTTTGGACTATCAATTTGCTAAAGGCACGGAGCTGACTGCGAACTGGAAACAACAGCCATTGCACTAGCGAAGGAGTCATCCAGCGAACATGTTCCAACATTCGTATACATATCAGCCGCCTCGGGAGCACCAATGCTACCCAGTCGATATATCACGACGAAGCGAGAAGCTGAGACGACCATAGCGTCTGAACTACCAGAGTTGCGAAGTATCTTCATCAGACCGCCCTTCATGTATGATTCAAGCAGAAAATTCACACTTCCGATAGCCTTGGGTGGTTTTGTTGCCTCTCAATTCAACGCCCTCTTGGGTGACAGGCTTCGATTCCTCGGTGCGATGGTCGATAAGCCTTTCCAGGTGGATCTTGTGGGCGAGGCTGTAGTGGAAGCAATGGAGGACGAGTCCATTAGGGGCGCGGTAGGAACGAAGCAGATAGAAAACTTGGCAACCAAAGCGTGGAGAAAAAGCATGCTTTGAATCCAACCTCTCGTGTTTTTCGTGATTGCCTCGGCAGGCGGCTGCCGAGAGGTGGATGAGGTTAGGCACTTCACCGATTTGGATGTAATAAGGAGTCCCGCTCTGTATATTAGACCTAAGCAGGTAGCACTGGATCAAATCATTGTACCACGTTCGAAACTGTCACGAATCTCCGTAGTGTACTGAAAGGCATTAGTTCCGTTCGTAAAGCCGAAGTCTTCGTGAAGAGCCATACCTTATTGTAGAATCGTGCCAGCTTCTGGTTGAACTGTTTGTTCTTCTCGTTGATATATGTGACGTCGGCTTCTTCATCGCCGCGGCGCTCCCTGCGCTTCTTAAGTCGGACCTCTTCGGCCTTTCTCAAATCTGTGACCAATTTGTCCACTCCGGCTCGATCCGGCCTGTTCTCCGTAAAACCAATCGTATCTGCCGTCGAGTAGAAAGTACCGTTCTTGTCGACCGCAATCATCTCACCGTCGTTGGTTTCAACGATCTCCAAGTCACCATTTGCAGCTGCCTTCTCAATCGCAGCCAGCTTCTCCCTTTCATAGGCCTCCATATCAGGCTGCATTTGGCGTAGCTGTCTTTTGTATACTTTCCGTGCATCCTGTGTGTAGTCCTGAAACGCAACATCATCGCGGTGACGCTGCTTCTTCTCCATACGCCGATCCCATTTCTCGGATTCGTCGATGGTCCAATCCCAGGCTCTCTTACGCTCAAAGTCTTCGCCGGCAGCCTCTGTATCTGCTTTGAGAAGGTTGTGAGATGCAAATGCGTGCTTGTGCGACAATGAAGAGAGCAATGCAGGATCGGTGGCTAGACGCTGGGTTTCGGCCGCCGTTTCTTTTAGGTTGCGCTCAGCTGCATTTTTCTATTTGGGCATCAGCACATACACGACTTTTAGAAGGCAAGCGAAAAGCTGAAATGGTGGATCAGTTGACAGTTGCGACCGGGTTACTCACAGCACGAGCTTGAAGGGCCTTGAATCGTTCTTGCCGCTGGCGAGCTTTTGCAGCTGCATCATCTTCTTTGCTCTCTGATTTTTCGGATGTGGTCTTCTGTTGAGACTCTTCCGAAGCTCCTGCCTCAGCAGGAGCTGCATCAGACTGAGTCTGGTTTGAAGCGGCGTTGTCGTCGGAAGGCTTGGCCGCAGACACTTCGTTAACGCGCTCAGCAGGCATAATCGTTGCAGTCGCGCAAGTCCTTCGGGGGTTCTCTTCAAAATACGCGTCGAGCCAGGTACGAAATTATATTGTAGGTCTTCAAGAAATCGTAAATAGAGACTAGGCGAGATAGACGGAAGCTGGATGCAGGACCAATGATGAAATTCAATCGACGACAGCGCTCAGGTATTCTTGACCACCAATCCTCTTACCGCCTTTAGAATAGCTTGTATGGTGTACTCACGCTCCCAATCGCCCTCCCACCAGCGATATTTCAGGGTGAGATTATCGAATTATGATTCTTCTGGCAATGCAGAGTGGCAGATGGCTTACTTTTTGTGTCGCCGAGTTGGCCATCTATTGAAGCATCTCAGCCTCCCACAACGCTACAGATCGCAACAACAGTATCGTGCGGAATCTGCAATTACTAGAACAAAAACCCCAAACCATGAACCTACTCCGTCTCAGATTCTTCGGTATGCGTTGACAGGAACTACAGACCCGCCGGGACAAGATGTGTCAAAGCAGGACTTGGACGACCATTTGAACGATGTGTTCTTAGGCGAATGGCCCCAGTCTACTCTACCTCCACCTTTGTGGAGCTCTCTCCGCCCAAAAGTCGCCCGCCTCGATAGGGATGTGATTATCAAAGGTCTCGAGCATGATGTGCGGAATCTTCGTCATCTACAGATACTCATAGAAAGTCACATCAATGGACATGGGGCTTGTGTATTACTGCAGGCAGAACATTGTAACCTTCTGGCGCAGGCGCTGGAACGTTGTCAACGACACCACTCGGCTGCGGAGATCCTTGTCGCTATCAATGCACTCGTTCCAAGACTACAGAGAATGCAGATGGATCTACATAGAAAATTGCACCTACTGGGGATGCACTACGCATGCCTTTCTTATTCTACAGCTGCTCTCGAACGACATCTGAGAGATTTACTTGCTATCAACCCTAAGCGGTTTGGTTTGGCCTCGAGTGTCGCCCTGGTAGATGCGCTTTACATGTCCATCCGATCCTTCGAACTTCAAGGAGATCACCCAGACACCAGTTCGATGCTCAAACTAGTGACTGGCGAGTCGGGTGTCGGTGATGCCTCAGAAGTTACTTTGCACTCCATATTGTTCTGGGTTGGACCGAAAAAAACGTTAATTGGACGGTATTTTAGATTGCTCGTCAAGCTAAAGAGCCGCGAATTGCTCCATACTCTATGGAGCGATGTTCTGAACCTTTTATGGGCCAAAGCAGGCGTCCACCGTTTCCACAATGCCTATTCCTGTATAGTGGCTCTGGTTGTGGAAGGAGATGTCGCCAGGGCCACCACGTATCTGGAAGAAATCTCGCTGCGCGCTGATGACGCCCTTCCATATATATCAGAGTTCAAAGATCTGAGTGTACTTCTCGCTAATCAAAAAGTTTGCGAGTCGGTATCTCGTCTCTGTGGCCGGTATGAACACTTCAAGATACTCGAAGTCCAACTCGAACGCATGGAGAAGAGGCTAGGGATCAACTGGCTGCCCGAGAAATCTCTTCACACTAGTATATCTGACCTCAGTGACAATGCGACCGGGCAGCCTCTTCTTACGATGGATGGAGACAGTAGTGGATACGAAAGCAGCGAACGCTTGATTGCCGAAATGCACGCTTTAGGTTGTTCTGGATCGCTTTCAGATCTCACCAGACTTGCCAATTGCTTAGACGAGCATGGAGGTGAACATATTCCGGTTGTTCAATCATCGGCCGAAAATACACCGCTAGAGCTGGCCTGGGTACCTCAACGCTGCCCCGTCGATGTCCTAGACTCTTCTGAGGTGAGACCTGGAGAACACACGACGAACTCGCCTTCCTCCCTGGGTTTGATCCGACTCGACCCTGAAAATGCGGGGTTGTCACCGACAGATACTCGCTCGCTGCACTTGATGCAGCTGGGATATCTGATCATAAAGCCCAAAGCATCCAGTGCGGAGCACGAATGGAGAGAATCGGGCCATATAGTAGCCCTGGACCGCGCTTCAGGCCAACTCATCGCAGTCTTTGTGGGGAAAGCTCAGGGCCTAATAAGCCCGGGCATCCAGTCGAATATCCCACGAATACCATTCGATCTCAATTCGATAATGAAAATCGAACTGCGAAGCGACTTGAACGGAACTCACCTTGGGGACAATCATTCGTCACCGGAATTTGATATCACGAAATGCTATCTTGATGTGGATCCATGTAAAGATCTGGTGATTTGAACGCGTGCCCCTTGCTTTCTTTGGTTGCTGACGCAGATCAGTTCATCACCGGTGAAGTACTTGAGCAAGGCGAGCCACGGTGCCAAACCAGCCCCATTGTCAAGTGTAAGGCTCATATTGGATTTACAAAGCTGCGTTTCTTAATGCCAGCCGCTAATTAGCAGTAGCTAAAAGAGCGGAGTTCGGGAGGGTTCGGATCTCAACAGAGTGAGCTGCATCTGCCGCACAAACAAATGCCGATTATCAAGTGTGGCTTGAGACCGTCAAGGCAGGGTATTTCGGCGTGGCTGTAATAATGTGATTAGGTAGTCTTCCCCGTGCGACTTGGGTAGCGATTAAGCATCGATGGAGCAAGGGCGCGGACACCTGCCTGTCTGTCAAAATAGTACCTGGGGGCCCATCACAGTCTGAGCCGCTATTTTAGCTGTCCCCATGCCGCCGAAGTTTGTCCTCTAACATCTTCGCTATCTGGGGTATCTAATGAGTCTGATTTCGGATAATACTATACGGCCCTTCTTTGGCATCTTTTGGAGATCTGATGGCGATAATGGATTGTGCGTTATCTTGCACTGAGCCGATTTATGAAGGCAGGGAAAAAAAAAAAAAAAAAAAAATGACGTATTCTCAAGTTCAGTATATCTGGCTACTGGGTTTGGTTTACAAACTCGATCCTAGTGGGCGTGTGTACCTATTTCCTTATCTGGCAAGCGGGGCGTGCGTTGTGGACGACTTTCTTTTCCTAGACCCCTTGATGGCAATGGGCAGATCCTACGAGCGAGTCCTATGGCTACTAGGTGGTCTCCTCAAGCAGATCGACTTCAATTAATGTGCATGCAAGATACCTGAGAATTCCGGGATTTATTGGCATATGCAACATGACATTATCCTCCCGAATGCCGGAACTGCTGGTCAGATTGACTTGAAAGACAAAATTTTTGGCTTAATGCACTGATCAAACGAGCGTCTTATGCGGATTGTCAGCTGCTGTTCAACAGAATCCCCTTGCTCTGGTCCGCTCAAGTATGGCAGCATTATCGGGATGAGACCGCAGCCGTCCCCGGTAGCAATCAAGCATTCTGTGATTTTTGCCGACCATGCTTGAGGATTTTACTGCAGGCTGACGATGGCGAGCTACTCCCTCATTCGGACCCTTGCATTTTCACGACCAAGAATCACTATGCAGGAATAACATGGCATTGCAGGAAGCACGGGGAATAATCCTCACGCCCCTGCGATAGCCAACGGAGTGAGAGACTCTCTGCAAGCTCGATCGAGGAAGATTGGCTGGCGGAGTTACATGAAATTGATGCGTTCCAGATACCACAATGGTATGGAGGACTTTGGACAAATATTGAGACTGAATATTGAGTGTATCCTTGCTGCTCGCAAGATTACCATGATGCCAGTGTGACCAGTCAACCATTACTGATATCGAGGACGGATCACATAATCCTTGGTGTACAGAATGCCTAGAATCCTTGGCAGAAGGATTGAATCAAGGTGTGTTACGTATCAACCATCCTAAGGAAAAAGGCAACCTCGCATTGCGTTAGCTCTCTTTGTGTGCATATTCCTGCCCTGGGAAAAGCGAATGCGAAATTGAAGGCAAAAGGAGCACATGATCGCCGTCGAAAACTTGAAATCGAGTGCCCACCTTGGTCAAACTGCGCCTCATTCTCTCCAGCTGGAATGTTGAAACGATGTGATGCAGGTATGGGGATCGTGCCTGGCTGTTAATTGAGGTACGGCCGCAAGAAAATGAAGCGCCGGGTAGCTCTCTTGTGACTTTGTCCCTGCCACTAACTCACTAGTACTATCTATCGTTTCCTGGGTTTCGTGAAATGTGGGGAGATGTAATCACTTCACACCGTTCCCTGCCATCGCGGTTCGGTCATTTAGAACCGAAACCCTCCACGGCCTGTTCTGAGAGAACATCTGGAGACTTGATAGGTTTCCAATAAGCGACCCTCATTTCTTAGTCTTATATCGAATTGGTCAAATGACCTAGTATAGCAACGCCATCAGTCCATCACCATCTCTGAAGATCCTTTGGGGTCCTTCCTGAATCTGATTTTGCATCCACCGGCGAAGCTTTTCATACCGATGCAAATCAGGAAGAAAGAGACATTATCATTCATGTGTGCTGCATCGCGGAGTATCTACTCGGGACTGAGCTGCACAGAGATAAGTTCCGACACTACATACCTCTCCACATACGGAGTAGAGGTATCCATCAGAAAAGGAAATGCCCTTGATGGATCAGCAACTCGGGTACCTAGTTAAGGTAGGTCCACACTGAAATAAAGACCGCCATCAAAGTGGGAGGATTTCCGACCGCTAGACTAGATTCTCGCCAGTCTTTGTCTCCTGAGGCCCTGGTATCTTCTCCCTACGACTACTCGGTACTGGATCATCAATCCGCCAACCCATTTTTCCCAAGTCTTTGATGGTTCAATCGCGAAAAGACGGTTCCTGAATTGCGACCAATCAATCAATATCCCGTATGTGGCGTCCATCGTCCTGGTTACACCAGATCGCATGTTCTATTTCCTAGAAATCCTCGATACTGATCATCCGTATGGTTCGCTGTGGGTTTTATATTCCGAAGTTATTGGGCACTGACTGGTCCCGTTGGCTTGCATAAGTTCTACTGGATACCTTAAAGTACCATCACAGTCCACCGGTAATCTCAACTCGCACCAGAGTGAGTCCCTAGAATCCTAGACTCCCTGATCCCTGCTCGATTGTTTGCTCTCCGATTGCGGATACCTATAAACAATACACACAAATCATCCATCCCAACAAAACCTCACCTTAATAGTATTTTTGTTACGGGACCTCCGGCATACAGTCAGGGATCAGGTATCAACAGTTGCAACCCCTTTTCTGCCCGCACACATTAATCATGCTCATTGCCTGCTGTATAACGTAGTATGTTTGATCAGTTGCCTGGTAAGGTAGACTCTCAATAATGAATCCTGGAACCTGGAGCGTTTCGGCGGCACCCTAATAATTAGCCTTCCAGGATATCCACTTTGCAATCCGCGGTTCCAGTCCCAGCCTTCTTTTGTTGTTCTTTGTTCTTAGATGGAAACTATGCATCTATCTGGACCATCATAGTATCGGTATTTAATATCAGCCCTGTCCCACCCTTTCTTCGCCTACTATTGGAAAACAGCGAGTGGCACTTTTTCCTCCATCGGACTCGTATGTAATTTTAATTTTGACTATGATATCTATTCTCTGCTCTTCCCAAGCCACACTCAGACACAGGAGACATACTTTGTAATTCATCTGCCAGGAACACACTGTTGTTGCCGTTGCATGGTCGGCTATGCTTGTCTTTACTCTTTTCTTTGCTCATTGACACACACAAGGACTCGGGGCAACTACTTGTGATTAATTACTTACCGACAAAACCGTCGGGAAGGTCCGCCTGGCGTCCTGGCTGCGTTGGCTCCATTTGATCCTCTACTTTAGCCAGGATTGGCTGATCTGAAGTTGCTCTACGGTGTTGTTCATCCCAAGGTCAGTACCTAGTACTATGTAGTACTCTACACCCAGCCATACTTCGGAGCATCATCAGCCTCTCTCATTCGACAAGCAGACGCTTGTCCTTTGCTGATTCGACTCTTTCGTTTCAGGCCCTTGTATTCTGTTTTCTTGAGCATGTGTCTTTCAAACTCCCTCCAATAATAATCGAAAGGGTGGAGAGCAACTGCGCCTTACGACCGTGGCCCGCACGTCGTCGTCGTCGTCGTCGAACACCAACGTATGTGCAATTATTCATGCTAACCAGCATACTCAGATAGATTCGACATTATTGATCCACAACGAATGATCTTGTTTAACTTGTCACCGTTTATTGTTCAAACAAAAGCCAAGATCGACTATCTATAAGTGTCTTGCGTCCCCATCTTGTTATTCATCAACGCGCAGCATCCATCTATAAGCAATAAATGTTCCCTGGTCTTCGCAGAACGACATCATCATTTGGCTTCTCTGCACCAATCAGGATATCACTCAAGCCCCTCGCACAGTCAAGCCTATTCCCCTACCGCACTCAGTCTCATTTACGGATGCCTCGCTTCCTTGCATACCGCGGGACCTCGCCCTCTGCCTTCTTCTAACACGGAGTGAACGGTTACACGGAGGCAAAGGAGGATAGGACCCTCGAGCACCGTTGCGGTTCTGCATAGATGTCGGACACGCCGTTTCCACAATGGAATTATTCCACTTCCGTCAGCCGACATCTCAACTCGAAAAGTTCCGCATCCCTCAGTGAACAGGGCGAGGTGACGCCGAATCCAGCTTCTTCCTACTCTAAGCATGAACCGCCGCCGCCGTTTATTTTTCAAGGCACCCAAGGCTACGATCCGCCAGCCGTCTCCCCTGCGACCGAGTCCCGATTCTCTTCTTCTGTTCACTCTCGGGTCGGCGGCGCCGAGCAGAGGTATAACGGCGCCTCTGCCAGTGCTGGTTCCTTACCACAATTAAAAGTACTGCGGAGCGGTCAGCCAAGGGGAGCGGATCATTGGGATAGTATCGCGCCTGCCAGTGCAGATTCTATAGGCCAAACGAAAATGCGATGGAGCGGTCCACCAACGGACGCAGATTACTCCCAGTTTCCTCACCAGGGGGTCTCAAATCACTATCATGGACAGATTTCTGTTAGCCCCAGAGAGCATACAAGGGACGTCGATTCTTCGTAAGTCATCCGCTCATTTTACACCAAAAGAGAGCAAAGGGGAGAGAAAGACGGATAACTCAATGTGCATGGAGATATTTCTCGGACGGCTCCTGTTTCAATCATCCATCAACCACAGTGCTAACCAACTCCTTTCCGTATAGTAACTCCACGACAATCCCCAGTCCTGTTCATTCTGATCGCAGCTCAGTACCGCTTAGTGGCCGCTTAAATCTGTTACAAGCCCTACCCCCGCAACCGCCGCGACAAGTCTCATCAGGCATCCCGATGGGATTCGATCGGTTACTCAATCATTCTCCAGAGACTTCGCCGCCCCCAAGACGAGTCTCGGTGTCCCCACGTTATCACCTGTACATTCGACAACAACCCATAGCTGCTCGGGCTTGCGGCGCTGGCGATAGGGACCGGCGACCAGTAGATCCGCCGCCGATCATCCAGATGCTGCTCACCGACTTCGACCCGCAATCACAGACCGATCTGGACACCCTTCAAGATCCTCGGCTTACCGTCGGCTGTCTGCTTCTCCCAGTATCAGCAGCGAATTCGTGGCCCGGCTCGCCCGAAGCCGATGGGTTGTGCGCAAACCGAGAGGACCGCACGACCTCTCAAAGGGCCGAAGAGAATGGCCCCGGCCAGAGCACGCCGCTGCTTTCAGGGAAAGCTTTTGTTTCGCCTTTCCACGTCGAATTGGATCCAGATCCCCAGACAGCCCCGCCTCATCCCACAAGCGCGGATTACAAGGTAGAGACGAAGCCTGGGACGGCCAATTCTACCAACGGCTTGGATCTGGCCAAAGTGCGAGTCCCCGCGACCTTCTTCGTCTTCCCCGACCTCTCGATCCGGTCCGCTGGCGTCTACCGGCTCCAGTTCCGGCTCATGAACTGGGGTCTTGTGGAAGACACAGGCCAATCCATGCCCGTCCTGGCCGAGGTCTGGTCCGACCCTTTCCGCGTGTATCCCGCAAAAGACTTTCCTGGAATGCGGGACTCATCGCCTCTGACCGAGGCTTTGAAGGAGCTCGGGTTCGTGGAGCTCAAAACCCGCGGCAAGGGGAAGGGCAAGGGGCGGCGGAGATGACATGCGACACAAGGTCGATTTCCCGCAACGAGATCATGACTTGCATTATATACCTTTTTTTCGAGGGGTTGTCATTTTGGGTCGGTCATACAGGGAGCACGACAGGCGTTGGATGCTCATTCTTGGACTCTGTTACGAATTTCATTTTATGCACTCATACTGTGCATTCACGACGGGATGATATGAGAAGAATTGGTCGATACCATCTTCGTTTCTCTTTTCTTGTTTTTTTAAGTCCAAAGCAGATGAGCTTGATGATTCATTTATGATTTATAGCGTTGGCCAGAATGCGTTCTACATGGTCGAATGACATCTCTTAATATACTGAAATATCCCTGGTCACGCGCCTGATGGATTGATCTCTGCAAGACAATAACATAGTAAGCGTTGATCTGGTCCGCAGCCACCTCACAACACCGCCATATAACCGCTTTAGGGAGGTCCAATGGCGGCCGTATGGTGGCTAGATGCTACAAAAACAACGGCAGAATCACAGACTCCGTAGGAAAATCTCTTCCATTATGGGTATCAAAAAAAATATACAGACATGTAGAGGCATACGGCGGATCAAACATCCAACAGCTCAGGAGGTACACCACCCTCCTGATCCTGCTCATCCCACTGCGCCTTGATCCGCCTCACGAGGGGCCCAAGGGAAGGCGATCCCTCAATCTGCTCTAGCAATTGCAACCCCCGAGCCGCGGAGCCATCTTCCCGCAGCAGCACCGCCAGAACCACCGCCGCCCGCTCACTCCCATGGCTGAAGGCCAGCTCGTACCATTCTATCGCTAGCTTGCGGTACTCCGCGCGAGGCTGCGGCCCGAAGACGCTTGACAGCAAAGCAGAGAATTTCCCCCGATTGCTCGGTTCACTCGTCTGCGAGGACGCGCTGGAGATTGGCTTCGTCCCTGCCTCCACGGAGGCCGTGTCCTCGCGCACTGCTCGCCGCGGGTACCGTCCCAGCGAAGTGAGATAGTAGAAGTTAGCGAGTCGGCGGCAGGCCTCGGCGTTCCCCGCCGTCGCGGCCCGGCTCATGCAATCCTCGTACATGGCCAAATCGCCCGCTTGTATCCGCACCGTGGCATACTGGACCAGCGACTTGGGGTCCTGGTAGTCCAGCGCTGCGGACCGCAGGAGGTCATCCGTCTGGGTTCCAGCCCCAGCTTCAGCTTCGCCAGTTTTCGCAGTTGGGTTCGCTTGTTCCTGGGCCTTCTCCTTCAGCCACGCATACACGCGCCAGGGCGGCTCGATGCGCGCCATGCTGAAACCCCCATCTTTCACGATGGGTACCTTGGACGGGTAGATGAGGGCCATGACCTGCTCGATGAGGCGGAGGGCATCAGAGTAGCGTTTCCGGAGGCCGAGGATCTTAGCGTGGAGGGTCATGGCTCGCGGGTCGCGGTCGTGCAGGGCGAGATGCTCGATTTTCTCGAGGGTCGGGGTGCGGACTGGGGCGGAGTTGCCCAGGGAGTTCAGGTATCTGGCGGCAGACATGAGGAGGGGGACGCGGGCGCCTGCGTGCGTGGTGGAGGCGAGGAGCCATTCTCGGAAGGATGGGTTACCGCCGGAGATGATGTAGCCGATTTGGAAGATGAGGTCTGGGTCTATGTGTGTGCTGGAGAGTTAGGGATGCGTGTTTGGAGGGGTCGGAGAGAGTGGGTGGTGTCGCTCGCACCTGAGGATAGCCCCCGGATGGCGTCTGCGGATGGCAGCTCTCTATGAGCGGTTTCCAGTAATCTTTTTGCAATATCCAGGAACGTGTTCTTCGTGACGTTGTCGTCAAGGAGCCCCTCGGCCAACGCGGACATCCATAGCAGCGGTCCTTTCTCGTCGAGGTACTTGAGCCGCGCTGTCAGGTCCCCGTGTGCGGGGAGGTTGAACAGGCCATCGCTCGAGTAGACTGGCCGGAGCCGCTGAGTCTGAGCCTGAGCCCGACGGGCAGCCGGAGACCGAGCTGCATAGCAGGAGGCTGTACAGTGAAATGGCCTGGTGGTTTGTGGAGATGGGGTTTTGTGTTTGATAGTGCCCGGGGCGCGATTGTCCGAGAAACGAGTGTTGTTTCGGATATAGCTGGTAGAGAGGGAGATTGGATTATCGTAGAGACATGGCCATTTTCGAAGGGCGTTGGGTGTTCGTGCGAGTGACATTGTAGCTGAAGTGAAGCTCGGGGTGGAAGGCTCTGCTGTAAATGAGCGGCGGGAGATTTGTTGATTCGGAGGTGCGGCGGAGAGAGATTCGGAGCTGTACCGCACTCTACTCACATCGCAGGTGACGCTACTCCATGGGGCACAATTGATCTTTTTTTGGCCATATGTATAACCTACACTTGACATCGTTGCATCAGAGATGCAACCATGCTTCGGAATTACGAACACCATAGGGATCGACAAGCATCGACCAAAAAGAACTGTCCTTCCAGCTTGTATCCAGATTGTCCAAACAAAAGTTGATAATGTACATTTGCCGCCTGTTTCCCGCTTTCCAGTTATATCAGGAACTGTGTAGAGATATATGACGGAGAAGTAAAACACATAAAGAAGAGGCGGTGCAAGACATAAAACTCCGGCAGGATGATGCAGTCCAACCCACAGCGTACAGATCCATACAAGCCCCCATCGCTCATTCAGCAGACAGAAAAAGAGGATGACCGATTAATAAAAATCATCGCGCCCCTTTCTTTACTCCATGACAACCTTGGCACCCACAGCCTTCAGGGTCTCGATGATCTTCTCCGCCTCCTCCTTGGGCACAGACTCCTTCATCATCTTGGGTACCGACTCAACGAACTTCTTGCTGTCGACGAGGGAAAGGCCGAGCAGACCCTTGATCTCCTTGATAACCTTAGCCTTGGAGGCAGCATCCACTGTCTCAAGCTTCAGGTTGAAAAGAGTCTTTTCCTGCGCGGCGGGAGCAGCCTCTTCTTCCTCAGCAGCGGCGGGAGCGGCAGCACCACCACCGGGACCGGCAGCAACGGCGAAGCCACCAACGGGGAGGTCGGGGATATTCAGGCGGGACTGTACAAGAGACCGATGTCAGTACGGAAACAACACAGCAGAATAATCAACCCTCATCAAGCGTTGATGAGATACACCGAATGCCAAAGGGTGGACCGAATTGCGATACCACCCAGGAGACGAAGAAAACCGACCTTCAAGCTGGCAACAAGATCCGCCGTCTCCAGAAGCGTCAATTGGCTAATCTGATCAACAATCTGGGTGATCTTAGGATTGGCAGGAGCAGCAGCCTGCGCCTCTGTCGAGTTCCACCTCCGGCTGGGTGTCCGCTGGCTCAGATATGTGGTGGAAGAGATGCGAACGGAGGGACGGACGAGCTGTCTGCAGCAGCGAGCTGCGGCCTGCGAAGTGAGCGACATGTTGAACGGCGGAATTGACGGTCGTAACTGGAAAGACGAAGGGAGGATGTGGGACAGGAACGATGAAGGGCCTCGACAACGCGATCAACCGATACTCATGAAAAAGAAAGTCCAGCTTCGGCCCGGAAAATCCAAATAGTCACGTGACACCACACCGTCAAGGTCAACCATACTTCCGGCCTACCAGATTCATTTATTGACAAGATATAGCCATTGGGATCAAGGATTAATTGTTATTACTGCCAGTCGCACTGGGTCGAGAGTCATAGATAGTATAACCCCTATAGTCACATGTCTTATACATATTGTCTCAAATTTCCGGTCGATAGACTTTTCGTAAGATGACGCCTCTAATAGCATCCTGCATTGTGGCCCCATACTATAAAGATTTCGTCATAGCTAAAAACATTTAATCTTCGTCCCAGTTGGGGTTAGGGCCTGGAGGCTTTGGACCACCCGCTTGCCGGGCGACAATAATCTGATCAACACTGAGGACTGTCCGAGCGGACTCACTGGCCAGACGGATGGCCCAGCTCTTTGATGCCAGGAGGTCCAGAATGCCTTCGTCAACTGCATCCAAGGTACCGGTCGAAGAACCAGCCTCCAGATCAACACCTGTAGTCCAGTAGGGCTCTTCCTCCTCAGAGCTGCCCTCTTCGGACTCCTCCGATTCGGAGGCCTTGGTCGTGCGGTGGTGTGCTGTATAGAGACGTGAGAGAACCTCCGTGGCGTCTAAGCCAGCGGACTCCGCGAGAGTACGAGGAATGACCTCGAAAGCCTCGGCGTATTTGCGAATGGCATACTGGGGCAAACCTGGAGTCTTGTCAGCGAAAGCCGAGATTTTCTCTACAAGCTGAATCTCAGTAGCGCCAGCGCCAGGAACAAGTCGAGGATCTTTTGTGATAGCCTTGACGGCATTGACGCCGTCATCAATGGCACGCTCGACATCATCTAGGTGGTTCTGAGTCGCTCCACGCAGGACAATGGTGGCAGTACGCGTTACAGCGTTGGCTTCTTCCTGACGGAAAACGGTCACACGGTCACCACCAATCTCAGTGGTCTCAACAACGTCAACGCTGCCCATCTCATCGGGCATGGGGGCGCCAAGACGAGCCAGGGGCGTAGCGCCAACGACACGGCAGAGACGGCGGAGCTCGAATTTGGAAAGGATCTTGATGACAAGAATATTGAATCGGTTGAGATAGTGCAGAGCCAAGTCACCGACGGAGGAGCCAGCAACGACAACACGGAGTCCGGAGTCATAAAGCTCCTTGATGGTCGCCTCGAGGCGCTCTTCCTCTCCCTTTGAGAAATTGAGCATCTCCTGGGCATTCTTCAAGAGCACGGTGCCCTTGGTTTCGGTCTGAGAAATATCGATAGGACAGCTGAAAACTCCAACCTTTGCCTTGCGGGCCTTCTTGATGGTACCCTCAGGCTCCCGCCCGAAGACCATACCCTTGATCACACGGGACTGTTCCAAGCTACCACCCATGATCTTGACGACGCGAACATTGTCGACATTGAAATTGACGGGATTCTTGGGCAGAACAGCGAGAACTGCCTCCGCAACTAACGATGCCAAGAGATCCTCTGTTCCGGACTGCTTGCTGGCGATGACCGTACGAAGAGCCTTGCAAAGTTCTTCCTGAGAGCGTAGTTCCTTCAAGCGATCGACTTCGAGGTCTATCAACACACCATCGGTCAGTAGATGAACAAAATGCGCTCTGAAGCGTGGCATATTGGATAGCCCCTGAAAAACGCGGTGAGAACGTAAATGACCAGACAACTCACCCTCTAGTACTTTCAGAGCGTAATTCTGTGCCTTTTCGTATCCCTGAGTAATATCACTCGTCTTCAAGCCCATCCGTAGCAGTTCTTCGGCCTTCTTCAACAGCTCTCCCGCCAGAACGATGACCATGTTAGTACCGTCACCCATCTCCGCATCCTGCTGCTGACTCGCCATGACAAGCAGCTTGGCAGCCGGGTGCACGATATCCAACTCGCGGAGAATCGTAGCGGCGTCCGACGTAAGCACCATCTTCTGCAGGTGGTTGATGACGATCTTATTGCGGCCGTAGGGACCGAGCGATGTTTGGACGGTCTTGGAGATCGCCTGGCAGGCCTCGATATTGCGAATGACGGCACCGTCTTCGGCATCGTGACTGTAGCAATCGCGATGTCAGTTACATTGACTATCTCTGAGAGCTTGAATGCGTTGCGTTGCTGAATCTCATCTCCTCAACTCGACGCGGAGTACGCTGAGCGGGACTTTCCACAAATAGAACTCGCTTACCTCTGGTATCCAGGCTTGAAAAGACCCGCCTGGCTTGGACCAGGCATAGACAGCGACATTTTGAAGAAAGCTTCCTCTCGAAACAGAGAGAAAATTGAAAGATAACGAAGAACGCAAGTTGGTGCTATCACACAAGCTACGTGCTACTCCGGGAATTTTTGATGGAGCTTTCGAGACGGTCAGGCGGCGGCGTGTGTTTGGCTGGTTTGCATCTGGAGGGGCTAGGGCGTTTCCTTTTTGGGACATACAATAATACTTGGACTCATACAGAGGACTTATCCTGGCGATTATATTTGATTTGCATGAGTCGTAATTTCATAATTATACGTAAGATTGTATCCTATAATACAAACCAGGTCATCTCAGTAACTATCGCTCACCATCTGTAGTAGTCGTTTGAAGCTTGGCGAAATCCCGGCACTGCAGATTATTGTTAGTCAAGCCCCAGGATGAGCGACTGGTTTGTTTGGAGCGCTTACTGTAGTTGCCCAGGGTACTACATCCACTATCTTCATAGATTTCTTCGGCCTTCCCCAGCCTGGAACCTCGTCAGTACACCTCAGCAGATGATGTTGTCGGAGGTCTTACCATCCACGGATTGCTTCCATGCGGTTGTAGCTCTGGTACAAAGTCAGGTCCCGGTACTGCGAGACTCAGGGCGTGTTGAGTCTTACCGAAGGGTGTGTTGACAGAAATTGAGGTGGTGCCTCCTGCTCTGCTTTTTGCATGCGCGCCCAACTGGGAGGAGATGTGAGCCATGACGCTCAAAGTCGACGATACTTCTATCATAAATACAGTGAACCGGAGGTAATGACTTACAGTCCGACAGCAGCCTCAGGATTGAAGCAAGCTTTTGACATCATCACTAGTCCGGATTAGCATCAAAGATATAATCGTTCATGGTTGATGATCATACTCAAGCCAATGTTGTCTGCCTCAGCCTAGAAAGTAGTCAGCGTACGGGTCGTCTGCGGGGCAAAAAAGTAAGTCATACCTCTTGTGTCCTCGAATTAGGCAAGCTGTACATTAGGTTGAGTAGTAGCGAAGGAATCTGTCCGGAAATGTCAAATAGCATGGAGATAAGGAATACCGCTCCAACTGTCAGGATGTTGTTGCTCATGCGTTCTGCTGGATGATGCGCGACAACGTGAGCAATTTCGTGGCCCAATACAGCTGCAAGCCCGTCCTCGTCTTTACAAATTGGCAGGATGCCTGTGTAGACAAACACTTTCCCTCTGTGTATAGGGTCAGTGGCATGCGACAACAGACCGTGATGTTGAAGGATATGCATACCCAGGCAAAACAAAAGCATTGACCATGCCGTCATCCTTGATGACATGAACTCTCCAATCTGCACCTTCAATTGGCGCTTGCGGTATCAATCTGCGGAGCACGCGGTTCACCATGATGGCCAGCGGATGGTTCTCGGGGAGAATCTTCCCGCGTGTTGATCTCAAAACCTCCTCATAACTCTGTTGACC